TCTGCTTCACCATTTCTGCCATGTGAAACCCCTGGGTCACTGTCGCCACCACCAAGGACTTCACCAGCTGTGTTCCCTGGCCTTTGGACTTCCTGGACTTTGAAAGCAATAAGTTTCGTTTTCTTACAAATCATCCAGTTTCAGTTATGGTGTTATAAGTGACAGAAATGGACTAATACAACCTGCTACCCCAAAATATGGCACCTTGGCATTTGAGGAAATAGCAGAAGTGGGAGGGTCACTCTCTGACCTTCTCCTGCCCTTCTCCCCTGAAGCAGGCCATAAAAGAATTCTCTGACCTTCCTCTGTGTAAGACCCTTATGGAGAAGTACCCAGTGCTGTTGTCTGTGAAGACACAAGGACACAGAAATGAATATGAACAAACAGGCCCTGCTAAGTTCACATCCACTTTATTATTATTAGATCATATCCCCTTTATCCAATTGTACTTCTGCACGACTGTCAAACTTAGCATAAAAATACACAGGTTTCCGTTTTTCTTTGGGTCTTCAGTTCTAAACGTACCTGTGTCACATCAAACTTACATTAAATAAATTTGCATGTTTTTCTCTTGTTAATCTGCCTTTTGTTATAGAGGTTGGCCATGAACCTTGAGATGGGTGAGAAAAGAAATCTCTTCTCTCATATACTACCTACCTGTGTTTCTCTGAACATACCTTGCTGTTTTTGCGCCTTTGTACACTGTGTTAGTTTGGGCTGCTATAACAAAAATACCATAGACTGGGTGGATTAAACAATAGAAAACTTTTTCTCACGTTTCTGGAGACTAGAAGTCAGAAATCAGGGTGCCAGCATGGTTGGGTGCTTGGTGAGGGCCCTCTTCCTTGTTTGCAGACGGCTGTCTTCTTGCTGTACCTTCACATGGCAGAGAGAGAGAGACCATCTCTCTGGTGTCTCTTCTTATATGCCATTTATGAGGCTGCCACCCACATGACACAATTATCTCCCAAAGGCACCATCTTCTAATACCATCACATTGGGAATAAAGGCTTCAACAGATGAATTTTGGGGAAACACAAACCCTGAGACCATAGCATACACATAGACTCCTCCTCATTCTTCAAGACTCAGGGAAGACTTTCCTGACCTTGCATTGGCCCCTCACCCCCAAGCTTAAGGTCATTCTTGTGGACTCTCACAGAACTTTGCTTGCCTCTCAACATTTGTCCCACTGTACAAAATTAATTGAATTGTGTTATAATTGTGGGTTTAGCAGATGTGAGCACCTGAGAGTGGGACTTTACTCTTCTCTGCCTTAGCACCTAGTACAAAGGCTAGCATAGAAGTGTGTATTAAAGGCCTCTTGAATAAAGGAGTGGGTTAGGGCCAGATGAAGAGGAGTTTAAGGATTAGGTGGGCCTTTGGGATCCTTTATGTACCAGCCTGGATGGTGTATGGATTCACGGGAAGATGGACTCCCTGACACCGGCTTCATTGCTGCTTGTGATGAGGATGTTTCTTTCTTTGAGAGAAGTTTTAACCAGTGGGAGTTACAGGGAGTAATAGAAGAACTAGACTCTTCAGTGGAAGCAGCTTATTTTCTTGGAGGGAGTAATAGAAGAACTAGACTCTTCAGTGGAAGCAGCTTATTTTCTTGGTCTATTTACCTCACTTGCACATAGTCATAAAATTTTTGTTTAAATTTTTATCTGTTTAGAACATAATTTGTAGTCCTTTTAGAAAACTTAGAAAATACATTGGTCTATTTACCTCACTTGCACATAGTCATAAAATTTTTGTTTAAATTTTTATCTGTTTAGAAAATAATTTGTAGTCCTTTTAGAAAACTTAGAAAATACATTACAATTTTATTTTATTTTAAAGTATAACAGTTTAGTTGAGCAAAGAATGATTCACAAATCAGGCAGCTGCCAGAACCACAATAGGTTCAGAGTGACTCTGGGGCTGCTGTGTGGTTGGCTAAGATTTACAGACAGAAAAAGGAAAGTAATGTATGGAAAATGGAAGTGAGGTATAGTTTCGTTACAGCTGGCTGTTTGTCTTATTTGAACACTTTGTATAGCTGGCTGCCTGTAATTGGGTGAGAATCGCCTACTTGTTACAAGAGTAGATTACAGTCTGTTTGCACATCAAGTTAGTTCACTACATCAGAAGACACCTTTAGGCCAAACTTAATTTAACAATTTTGAGATGTTGACCAAAATTTTAGGCCCTGACATCATTTTTTTACCATTGAAAATGGACTTATTTGGCTTCAAATTCCACGGGGAAGTAGCAGAACAGCAGGTTTCATAAGGTGGGATCAAGGAAACTGAACTA